ATACCCTTTTTAATTGTTTAGAAATTCATTAACATTTTTCTATTTTCCCATAAAATCTAAGCTTTGATCTCCCATTTATAATTATAAAAATTAAAACAATTTATATGAAGTTTTCAAAAAAATTATTTTGGATACCGGCGCGTGAGTCTCTTGTTCCTTGTTGCTGCATCTGCTTTTTGTTTTCTTTGACTACTACCTCCAATTAATTCATTTTTCATGAACTTCACTGTATTGTGTTGTGTTGTGTTGTTTCATAATTGGGTGAAACTACTTCGCACGTTGTACATATGCAATATGTATGAGCATGGTGATTCTTCCCAAAAAAAATGTGCTTTGTTAGCAGCGCATAGAATGACATCGGTATTTAGTCTATTCGCACTCACATATTCACTGGAGACCCCTTAAGTTGTAGTCATGTTGTAGTTTGCTCTAGTGCATTGCCGTCTGTCTCCGTAAGTTTCATAACTTTTCTACGGATCGTACCTCTCCTATCTGCATTTGCATTTGGACTTTGAGCTCATGAGGTTGTAGTAGTTATATGTCATTCATCGATATATTATATCATAGTACAATGGATGCTCATTGAGTAGCATTTGAATGCTAGTGTTCGTATCTCATATTAATTCGATAATCTGGTTATTTTATCCGTAATGAGTTCGCATATGTTGGTAGATTCATTTTTCTGGAAGAATTTCACAGAACAGGCCCAAGCATCTACTCACATATCTCAGTAAGGCTCGTATTTTTTTTCTCGATCGTATTCATATATCTATATGTGGTCAACTAAAAAATCGTAGTAAAGAGTGAAGAGCGCACATAGCTTTTCATCGTTGGAAAATTGAATTAATCTTAGTTACTGATTTTTGTCTAAATATAGTTTGTTTAACATTGCGAGTTTGATCTCTTATGTTGAATTGTCATCCTCAATCTGTCAGTTCTCCTACTCATTTTCTCTCTTATTTTCAAAAGCAGGAGGAAGGAGAAAGAGATAGCGATAAAGCAAAGCTGTGAAAGCGGCTGATGCGACTCATTAAGCGTACTGATCGCATTGACACATTTGACGTCATCAAGGTATGGAAAAATGTAATTGCTGTATTTTACGCTGTATTCCTTAGATTCACCCGTCTTTTTTTTTTCGTTTTCATAGTGTTCGCAGTAGATTAGACGTGATATAATCTCTGTTTTCCAATTCACGTGGGAAATGCCACGTGAATATTTGAATAACAGAATTATTCATTTTCTATGGAAAGTGATGACACAAAGCGGTTGCATTCCTTGCTCTTCTACATTTTTCCTCTCTGTCGCTTTGCCATTCTCTCTGTCAACTTTTGCATAATCACTTATCAGAACGTTTTACATGTTTTTCATTTTCACGCGAATTTGTTAAATAATCTCATTTTGCTATTTTCAAAAAAGATTCTAAAAATTTGATAAATTCAATTAGATCTTTACTTTGTCAAAGAAAGTATTCGCGTTTTCTTCTCACATAGCATAGGATATAACAAACAAGAAAAGCAGTTAAACTTCATAAATATGCTTGATGAACTTTATGTTTTGAAAGTAAATAGTTAATATGACTGCTAAGAAACTTTCTAAAGAAGATAATTTGGAATTATAAGAGTAAATAATAAACTGAAGAATATCTTGAAAGTTCCTTAATCTTTCTTCATTTCATCCACTTATTGTCATTTTCGATTTAAATGTCCCAAAAAGTGCAGATCAACTAGTTGTGCTTTGCTATTTTGGCTAAAAACAAATTGTACACTATTGGATTGAAGAGTTTTGCGATTTTGAAAATCATTTCAGCCATTCATTGGAGTTTGTAAGGAAAAGCCTTTGCTTAGCTCTGCTCTTTTTTGCTCACTTTCCAAGTTTTTCACTTTTCTAATTCTTCTTAATCCACTATTGGGAAAATTGAAATGGAGTACGATTTTTAAGGGTTTTGATGGAAACCGGCATGTTAAGACTCTGAAATCTTTTGTGAGAGTGAATTATCTTTTGGACGCTTCCAGCTTTTCCTCATTCTCACTTTCTTTTGCTATTCCACTTTCTTGTACTCCGTTTATCTATCTATTTCTCTCTCTCTCTCTCTCTCTCTCTCTCTCTCTCTCTCTCTCTCTCTCTCTCTCTCCATATCTTTATTCAACTTTTCCTTTCTTTCGTCTTCTCCATGTTTTCCTATTTTATCTCCTTACTAACTCATAAATTGCCCTTTTATGAAGATCATCAACAATATTTTGAACGATTCGCTGACTTGTAATAAAATTGGTAAATATGCACATCCACTTTCCCATTTTCATCCGCAAAAAGGGCTGAGAGCCTATCTTTAGCCTCTAATAGGAAAGATATTTATAATCTTATTTGAAACCTTTGCTAACATTAGATTTCCTTTCTATTTCTGAACCCTCTCTCTATGCCTGTCTTCTTCATTTTTCTTTCTTTCTCATTTTCTCATCTTTCGCATTATCTCTCTATGAAAATCTCTTTTCATTACTTCCTCATAATCCTTGTCATCCCCTTATCATAGTTTTCTCTCGTTTTCTCTGCAGTTCTCTACTGTAAGACTTTACATTATTTATCCCCACTTTTTCATTTTTATTCTCATCATTCACTTTTTTTCTTCCGGTGCTCTTTGAAATGTATTATCGCCACTTTCTGATTTATCAACTTCATTATTCCTCCATATCTCCTGATTTATCTTATGGTTCCAAATACTACATAGATCATGTGCTGTTTTTCTGAAACTATACGAAAATTGCTGCACACAACCAAAGCTTCAATGGACCCCAAAACATGTCGTTCTTCAAACTCTTCTCCACCTTCTCTCTTTTACCTCTAAATATATATTTTCTTTTGCTTTATTTCTCATATCATCGTTTTTCTTGCTCAGTCTCCTCCCTTCTTCTTCTTTCCTCTTTTTCTCTCTCTGTACATTCGGGTGTTCTAGTGGTCCATCCTTGCCAACTGCTGCCCACCCGCCAGACTCTTTTCTTTCAACTCTTTCAAATAGCCTGCTCCACCCTTCTTTTTCTCGTCTCTCTCTCTCTCTCCACTCTCTCTCTTCTATTTTCTCTCCTTTAAAGCATTTCTCCTCCTTTTTTTTCTCCGTAGATTCCAAACATTTTTTTCTAATATATTAACATAAATTAGATAAATGCTCTCATTTACATAAATGAATTAATAACATTCCTATCTGACCTCACTCTTTATGAACAACAACCTCTAAGTTTGTGATGAATGATGATGACGTCAATACACTGGCATTGGACTTTTCAAAAAATTCCTTTGTTTCTCCCCTTTTTTTCTTCCTCAGCTCTTCTTGTATTATATCTAATATAAACAAATAACCTTTTCGGGATTAGTGATATACATTTCTTAAGATTTTTCCATATTCAGTAGAAAAAATGTGCAAATACTGCGTTTTCATTAACTTTTCGGAAAAAAAGAAGAATTGACGGAGAGAAAGAGAGAGTAGAAGAGAGAGGGAGAGATGGACGGGATGAAAGATGAAATTTATTTTGTTTTGTTTCTTACCAAATGACCAAAAAATGCTTTTTATAACGAAAAAATGTTTTCCATTCATAACACAATTGTAGTCATAGCAGTCGTATTGTTTACAATTTTTAATTTCAATTTATTTTTTGATAATTTTTTTATTTTCTTTTTCTTATTCAAAAGTGCGTTCATCTTCATTATGAACCAGATCTTCTCGCATTTTGATATTTTATTTGTTTTTCTATATATTCTCTTCTTTTGTTCTTCCAGTCTTCGAATGCGTTCAAGTTTAATATAATTTATTTGGTTTATTCCTTTTTCATTATATGATTTTCACCGAATTACTTCATTCGCTTTCTTTCTTCACATTTTCACGTGGCGAGAGCTTTATCTTTCCTTTTTTTCATTTCTCACTCACACACACACACACACAACGGTTGCATTCATTTCCGGCTAAGTTTTTATCTCAGCTTCTTCACGTATATTCGCTCACGTACAGAACGGTTGCATTCATATTCATTTTCGTCTCGCCTCCTCCCCCTCGTATTCCTTCACTCTCCTAATTTGTCTTGTCTTGTGTTCATGTTTTCGTTTTCACAATAGAGATACTTTTAAAAGGGAAAAGCCTATCCTACGTTTTGCTGTCTAAAATCATTTCGAAGAAAATCGTGGATGATCCAACAAACCAACCAATCTCATGGAATGCTTTCCATCTAAAAAAAAAATATGACAACGTCACTCTGCTCATATAAATCTCAAATAGTTTTTCGTTTTTTGATGAAATTTCCCGAAAAAGTTCCCATACAATTAATGAATTTAATCACTATCCGCCTGATTTTCCTTGATCGTGTTCATATCAGCTAGATGCGTTTTGCAATTATCTTCTGATAACTTTCTGTTTGAAAAAAAAAGGAAAATAATATATATTTCTTCATGAATGTTTCTATTTGGCAGCTTGAACAAGCCGCCAAATGAGCTGCAATAGTGTTGATGAAAATCATCAAATGTCTCTTTTTTCTCAATTTTCGTCTTGTTAAGCTCATATCCAGATCGACCAGCTTTTCTCGTTTCTCTTCCTTTTTTCTTTTCCCTTTTCCATCTATTAAATATCTATCGCATTTTGCTCTATTTGGATTATGGTTCTTGCGCCGAATGGACAAGTGCCCTCTTATCCTTATGCTTTTCTCCAACATCTTCCTGTTTCAATCGTCAGATTCCTTTCCAGCTTCATGCCAATACCAATATTCTCTACCTTTCCTTCATACCAATAAGCAATACTAGTACACAATCGATCTGATGACTCTTTCCTTTTTTGTGAGACTTCCGATTAAATTTCGTTTGAATTGTTTACCATTATTATGATTTCTTTGTTGATTTCGCTCATTCCTTTTCATTTCAGTTTGAAACACAAGACGAGCACTCACACGAACTGTCGGAATAAGTAACCATGTAAGTCTCGTTTCCTTTTACTTTTTTTGCCGTTCATACAACTAATCGGTTTCAGGATGGCCGAAGCATCAAATGAAATTCAAAAAAAATCCTCACTTGAACATCATTCCTCTTCGAAAAAGTCAAGTAATTGCAGTTCTGATGGCAGTATCCCACGTAAAAAATCATCTATAAAGGTAACTAATTGAATTCAAAAAGTATTGTTTAATCGAATCATTCAGGAAAATATTGTAAATGTCTTTCGTTCTCCACATTTCCTCGCTCGACGAGAAGCAGCCAGGTATGAAGAAGCTTTTGGGATTACATAACAATGATCTACTTTTGAAGAATTCGTTGGAACAAAATGGCGGAAAGATTAAAGCTCAATCGAATAAAAGTAGCTGTAACGGAATCGAAACTATTTTCACCCGGTACGTCTGAGTGCAAGAAGCGAAAAAAGCTTGAGTCTGATTAAAAGCCTTCTGCTCGTTTTTTGATGTCTCATGTTAAAATACATGACATCAATGAAAAGTATTGATAAAAGCTCTTCGTTTGGGAGATATGGCAATGAGAGAGGTGATGGCAGACGAAATAGGAGGGGGGGGGAATGGTTGTGAAGGGGTGGGGGGAACAACATTCACCTCTTGAAAGACTTCACATCAAGTTGCATATGACAAAAGCTCCTTTCAATATGGAATTAGCATCTTTCCTTTTCTTGAGCTTCTTATCTTTGTTTTTGGAGATTTTCTTTTTGAATGACAAAAGGAATTTATTAATCATATTGTATAGAAAGTTTTAAGAAGAATTTTAATGAAATCATATGATTATATCAACTTTTGACGTACGAAGTCAGACAGCTCCCAAAGTGCACGTTTCATTACTCGAGGGACTCTGTAACTGACGAGACTTATCATGCTTGTCAATATCGTAGAACTTAAAGCATTCCAAGCATCTTAACTCTTCCTCACAGTTTTTACCTGCGTTTTACACTTTTATTTCCTCTTTCATTTTTCTTTTCATTAAAAATTTGCTGATATATCTATTATGATCTTGAGAAGAGAGAGTCAGCTTCTCTTCTCGCTCTTCGCTATTTCTTCCGCTTTTCCTAAAAAAATGGCGCTTCAACTTTGTTATTTGGCGATTGCAATCAATTTCCTTCAGTTGCTACTAGTAGATTTTCAAAATATAATAAATGAAATTAACTTCTTCAATTCCGAAATGGGGAAACTACTAGAAGGACAGAGCAGTCTTCTGACGAAATGCCATCTATTAAGCTAGGTTTAACTGCAATTATTTTGCTTTCTATTAGATTCGCTTCTGATGAACAGCAGAAGCCGAAGCAGCAGCAGCAGCTTCTTCTTCTTCTTCTACTTCTTCATCTTCCTCATCAACCTGACTCAAACTCTCGCTCTTTCCTCTCTCCATCTTTCACTTCCTCCCTGCACTTGTCTCTCTTTCTTTTATTCTTCTCTTCCTAATGCTTATTTCCAATTTTTTTCATTCTCTTCTCATCGTGATCCTTTAATTTCCTGCACAAAATGCCAAGGGCAACTTGTTCTCCTGATAAAAAAGGGCGGAGCTTATTGACCACATAGCTTATATGGTGTTGTGTGACGACCTCCCTCTCTACCCGTTCATCTCTTCCTCCTCCTCCTCCTACTCCTTCTCCTACTCCTCCTCTTTCTTCTCGTCTAGAGCCCATTCTATGATCAAACAAGCCGGCTTTTTGCTCGTTTGAACCGATTATTTTACTCATTCTTGAAACTAAGCCATCCATATGTGCTTTGCGTTCAAGTCAACCAACCGCTCGGCATGTTTGAATCAAATTTAATTTGTTTTCGATTTCCATCTTATTGCATAAATCTCCTTAATTTAATCATCATATTCACCCGTGTTTACTAAATTGTCTTTCCTCATATCATATGAGATTTTCCAGCTGTCTCTCCATCTTGCTCTTTTGCTCTTTCTTTTTTTCTTTTTTTTTTAATTCGTCCGTCTCTTTTTATACATTTTTATTGTCAGCTTCATTCCATCGCAACAACGGAGTCCTTTAGTCCAATATCTAATTCATCAACTGCCGTAAATGGTCAGAAAATGTCGGGACGTCGACTTCCAAGATCATTGTCGGCTCCTGTATTTCATAAAAACTCACGTCGTCTTATGAATTTGCTTCTATTCAAAATTCAAGATATGCGCACTGCTGTTAGTTCCTTATCAAATCGGGTAGTTCGAAGTGAGTCTTTACTTAAGTTTTCTAATAGATTTTCGAAATCAACGTAGTAACTATACTAACTATGCTTCTTGTGTGTGTGTGTAGCTATGTGATGAGAAACATTACGATTCGCTCTTTGTTTTCATTTTTCTTTCTAATTTTTTCATTTTCATCGTCATCATCAGTCTCTCTTTTCCATTTCTCTCTTTGTAACTGCGAGCGAAAAGGCGAGGAGGCATATTTCCTCTCAATTTTAATTGAAAACACAACCGTTCATAAGTGACTGCAAAACACGAATTATTATTCTTGCCACTTTGCCCACGTAAAATCCACGTGAAACGTGGAAATGTGGATTTTTGAGCCGTTGTGGTGTTTAACATGGTTTTTTCATTATCCCAGACATGAAATGGCGAAAGAAAGAGGAAGAAGGGCAAAGAATAAGATCGAAAAGCTGAGTTCAAAGTCAGATGTACTGAAGGCTGAGCATGACAGAAAAATCACGTCCGAATTCCTCAGGGGAAAGCTACATCGTTTGCAACGCCGTCGACGATGTCATCCAAATGAATAGAAGGCAGACGATAAAGTTTCGGGATTGAAGTTTGTGATGGATGATGTCGGAGCCATTTTTTATTCTCTTCTCTTTGCACATGGTCACTTTTCGTTTTTCTCTCTCTCTTTCTCTCTCTCTCTCTCCCCTGCTCTTTGTGAGTCGAGAGAGTCTCTATGTGATAGGCTCTCTCTGATATACTCTATCTTCAGCCGTCTCAGAATTTTCTGTTTCTGTAAAGTTTGGTGCGGAAGTCGTTGTAGATTTCCAAAAAAGGAAGGAGCATGTAATTTGTAGAAATATCTTGAATAATTAAGTGGCCTGGAGAGAAACTTTTATTTTCCTTGGCGTTAATTATTTAAAGTTCGTTATGAATTCGGAAAAATTTGTTTTATTCATAATGCCGCTACCGTTCGCAGTAGGTTGTCGGGGAGAGCGGAGAGTTCAAGATTCGTCTTCTGCTTCCTCAAATCGATGAATCATAAAATGAAAATTTTCCGTTTTCTTCATCATTTCTCCCTTTTTTTCTATTCGAAACAACTTCTTGAAAGAACCAAAGATAAGCTTCTCCCTCGAGAATGAAGATTCAGAAGGTTATGAAGGAAAGAATTTGAAGATTTATGATGATCTGAAGAGTAACAACACGAAACGGAGCTTTCATCATCAGCATCATCCAGCGAATTATAAATATTTTCCTACTTCTCCTCAGCATCTCCTTTCATTTTTTTCTGATTATCTTTGTATGTAAATTTCGGAGATTCTTGATCGTTTGCCAAACTTTTGATTTTTTTCTTCTTCGACTACCATCCATCTATCCATCTATCCATCCATCCATCCGTCTCTCTCTATCTCCCTCTTCCTCTATGAAGACACATCTCAGGTTTATTTTGGTAATTTGCCCCAACACATTTGGAGGGACAGACCGCAGCAGATGGGGAGTGTTGAGAGAAATATTGCAGACAGAGAGAGATGGAGGATGGAAATGATAAAAATAAAAAAATAAAAAGAAATGTCTTTCCATGTGTGTTTTCATTGATTTCTGCCTTCTTCACTCGGACTATTTGAGCTCTTCCAAACGTTTTAAGGGAAGAACATGATGATACATGTACGATTAAAAGCTTAATCTTCCCATTTCGAGGGTCCTGAAACGAATAAAAAACGACGAAGGCAAAGAATAATTGTTGAAAATATTTTTATGAATATTTATGTTGGCAGATAATTAACATCAAATTACTCGCCTCTGCCATCCATCCCTCTTCTGTCTCTCCCTCTCTCTCTCTCTTAACCTTTGATTCCATTTTAAATCTTTTTTTTTGCATCTCTGTCGCTGCGTTGTACATTCAACATGCGCTCAGTGCATTTGTCCCCAGAAACTGAATTATGGCGGATGCGGTCAGAGATTAGAACAAATTAATTATCGTTTAATTGATGAAATTAGTTGGAGACATAAAGCCAAGTCTAGTTGCTGGTTGGTGGGAGGTTGCATAAGGAGGAGAATAAGAAGAGCTGAAGTACACGGTGTGAAAACACAAATAGTGAAAACGGTACGGGTGTACTCAGTGATGAGATGATGATGAAGACGTCGTTGCTTATTCCATGAATTACTCAGTTTCTTGACAGTTGATATGAGCATGATGCTTAAACATCCCCCTTTTAGCATCAAATAGACGAAGAAAGCAAAAAGAAAGTTTCTTTCCTTAACCTGTAGCCCCGAGGGGGTTGGAATAATTGACAGATTTTTTCCTTTCTTTCTTGTATACAGAGGCATAAATTTTTTTTGTGTCTCTGAGGCATGTTGATGACGTCGTCGACACTGCTTCTAGTTCCTTAAACTCTGAGCTAGATGAAAGAGATATGAAAAACAGAAAACAGTTTGATCAAGACAGCCTTATGAAACCAGAAAGAACATCTCCAGATTCTAGGAAAGTGTTTTGAATAATTGCCTTGGGTGGAAAACAAATACTCAACCAGTAAAGCGAGTAAGTTCGCGGAGTACAATGGCGTTTCAGAAACATTGAAGAGATGTGAAATTAATTTCAAGCTTTCAAGCTTCGAGTTTTTCAAGTCGTCTAGAGGTTGTGCGAAGTTCAATGCTGAGCTCACTTGAGTTGTTAGAAAAGCAGCTTAATCCTTCATTCATCATGGGGCTCTTTCTCTCAATTTTAATTGTGTTCTTGAAAAGTTGTGAAGCTTTTTTCTAATGAATGACCGTCTCCTGGCTGTGAATTAAAATTGCCCTGTTTGACATGCGCTATAGCTTCTCCACCCTTCTTCTCCTCAACCTCCCCCTCGCCACCCCGGTGTACATATTGAGACAAGTGCCCTGAAGCGATGATTTTGATCTCTCATCTAGGGCCATTTGTTATCGAAACCGAACGGGAAGTATAGTTAGAACGGAAATAAGCTGAAACTGCAGCGGACTTGATTCTTTTCATAAAATCATATGCTCTTATAATCGTCTTCATTCATCATTCGCATGTTTTTAAAGATAATTGGGCATTTTTTGTGTGGCAAAAGCCAAATGTTCGCCTCTTTTCAAATCCAGAGACATATGCAAAAATAGAAATTGGTCTTGAATGGAAAATATCAATTTTCTAAGGAAACTCTCTCTCTCTCTCTCTTATTAGTCTGTCTTTCTCTCTTGTCCACCCCCTCTTTATTAATATCCATATTCATTGTACATGGTATACGTACAATGGATCTCATTGATGGAGAATGTTTGAGCTTCAGGTTGAAGCTCAGTCAGAAGGATAAAATGAAAAAAGAATTCCTATGTCATACAACAATGATTTGAAAGTCATTTTTTAACCAAAATCGTATGCCGTCACACTTTTTGCAATCACTTTCGTATTCATGGGCACATGCTAATCAAACACTTTTTATGCTAATTTCGACGTGTGTGGCAGACGTCACGTTTTTTCCGTTACTTCATTTTCTTTCTTTCACAGCTCGTACAGCGGTCGCATTCGATCCTCTTAATTGTAAGAGGAAATTTGAATATTTTGCGGTCATTCTGTTAGAAACCTCTCTTTTCAAAATATTTTTTCGCCAAAAACATTTCCAGCACTTGCCAAACATTCCCTTTTTCCTCTCTCTCTGTCTCTCTCTCCCTCTGTCCCTCTCTCTCTATCTCTCTATGTTGCCTACGGGACGGATCTATCTAGAAAGCCCGGGGGCAATAAAAAGAATCAATGCTCGCATCCATGGTATGGTTCATTTGCATATTTTTTTGTTTTTTTTTCTTATTTTGTCTCCCACCTACTCAATCTCTCTCTCTCCGGCTCTCGATCTCTTTGAAAAATTTGAACTGAAGAGGGAATTTGATCACATTTGCTTTCTGATTCTTTAAGTTATTTCTTTTAATTCTTTGAACTGAAAGCCTTTCTACGGTGGGTGGAGCTGTGGTTTTGATAAAAGACAAATGAGAGGCCAAAGCATTGAAGAGGTAGCGAGAGAAATAGGCGGAGCTTCATGGCCATCCTTCATCGGCTTTTTTCTCTCTCCCTCTGAGTCTCTCTTCTCTCTCTCTCTATCTTTTTCCCCTCAAGCCATATCTTCTTTTCCATTAGCAATATGCGTTCACCTCGGAAGCTTTTCAAACGCTTATCTCTACCCAAAGGTAAAATAACTTTAACTATATCAGCCTGTGTTTGTATTCGTATAATTATGCAAATCGCACTCATTTCCAATTATAAAATGTAATAGACTATATACATATGGTTATGAGCTTGTGTTTTCAAAATGGCATAAGTATTGCTATTTATGCTTATTTGGTTGAGCCGTGTCTGACCAAGGCTTCAAAGTCTGATATGAAAAGCTTCAGGCTTACTCAAGTTCCCCCCTTCTTCCATATCTTTTTTTACTTTTATAATAAACGATGACATCATGAGAGTGAAATTTTTCATCTGGACAAAAGTCGAATGGTTTTGCCATCGGACGAATTACGCCATCTGGCTGAATCAATGAAATTTGATTGAAAAGACCTTTTTATTTTGACCTCATTGAATTTTTTCTAATTTCTCTTTGTAATTTCAGGAGAGCGTAGAAGACGTTCAGCTGAGAATGGTCACAACAACAGTTCGGCTCCTATGTCTGGCAGGTTCGTGCATTTTACGTTTTCAATGGAGATCTCTATCTCATTCTTTGAGTTTTTCCTCATTTTTCAAAGTTTTCATATAATATTTCGTTTTAATTAGTTTTATTATTATAAGAATTGGCGTCGATCGATTTTTCATAAAACCTCGATGTCAGAATATTATATGAGAATATTTCTTTAACTTATTCCGAACTCCCAACGACGTGTGACTGAACGGTCAAATGAATTTTCACACATTCAAAACTTGAGGAGTGAAATTCAGTTCCTCCGTTGATGACGACGTCTGCTGCTATTCGACGTCATCTGCTTCCTTCCACTCGTCTTACAACTTGTTGAGCTTGATTCTTCTCTTTAGAGCTGCTTTTTGCGACCACCGCTTCTCTCTTCCTTTTGCCATCTGCCTGTCGTCGCTGTTTCGCATCTTCCGGCAATTCATTTCTAGAAAGTTAGAAACCGGAACTGTTTTCGTAATTGTTAGAAGCAAAAAAAATCTATTTTAACAAGCTATTCCGTTGTCCCTATATAGATTTATATTTTTTGTTCCTTTCTCTCTCTACGGCTGAAATGCAGAAAGCAGAGGACAAGAGCCTCAGGCAGAAGAAAGAGATGTGAAGTGAAACGAAATATCAAATTGGCTTCACCCATAACGAAGTTGCCTTCGTTTACTTCGTCCACTTACTTTGTCTGTTTGTCGTAGTATTCGAATGACAAAAAAAAGAAGACGAAGAAGAAGAGGATGAAGCAAAAAAATAAAATGAAAACATTGTTAGCTTTTGCACCAACGGCTCCGCAACACTAAAAAGATGATTCTCCTCTCTCTCTGACCCAAACGACATATTTGAATGAAGTTGGCAAAGCGGCAGAGGATTCATTGAAATTCTTTTCAGTCAAAACGAATGGCAATTGGCTTTTGATAATGTGATTTACGATGAAGCTGGACGTGAAGCATTCGCTAAATTTTTATCTACCGAATATTCAGATGAGAACATAGATTTTTGGTAAGTCATGTCGTCATCAGGTTCTACCTTGTGTTCAGCTAGAACTTCATGAATTTCTAATTATTTTCATTTGTTCATTACAGGTGGGCAGCTGAACAGCTAAAAGTCTTACATAGGAATGGTGAAAGACAGAAGTTCGAAGAAACGGTTTGTACCTCTTATACATGTTCAAAAATAGAATGTGTTGATATAGGTTTTGTCAATGTTCGATAGCTTCATAGCAACAGAAGGAGGCTACTCCATTAACATCGATCATGATACTCGAGAAGATATATTTGCCAAGTAAAGCTGCTTTCAGATTTCCATGAACTTATGTCATACTGATTTCAGAGTAGTTAATATGGACCCAAGTACATTCCCTCCCAATATCTTTGATAAAGCTCAAGCACACGTGTATCGCTTAATGGAGAAGGTATATTCTATTCAGTCCCATCAGCATAACTAATAACGATTTTATAGGATTGCTTTTCACGCTTTGTACATACGGATGGATACAAGCAAGTCGCTAAAAAGCTGAGTTTACCACAAAACTTTGGAAGTAATGGACGTACAACATCTCCTCATTAAGCCTCAGTTTATAAGCTTCCGATCTCTCTTTATTGGTCTTTGTCCATCCATGGACAAATGACGATTCATATTCCTACTTCTCTGCTGTTCATTTCGGCTTCTTCCCTTGATAGTACAGGTCATCTTTAAAGTAACTGAAACACTGACTGACTGTTTTGACCAAACATAGAAGATAAGTGATCTTTATGTTTCTCAGTATCCTTCAGCTTCATCCCTCTCTCTCTCTATCTCTCTCTCTTGTTTGCTTGTCATCAGAAACCTATTGATTAGATAATAGGGAAATATCTTGAATGATCTCATTTTCAAACACAAAAACAAAATTTCAAAAACGAAAAACAACTTTTCTTTCCTCAGTTTCTGTATATTTGAACTTTTTTCTTTTTCTTCTTCATTAACTAATATAAATATATATAATAAAAAGATATAAACAAGGAATTAAAAAATAAAAAATATCATAAAGAAAGCTCTAATTATCAATTATGTCACGTAAATGCACGTGAAAGCTTTGTATGTGAGAGTGTACAGATTTTCAGGAAATGAGTGGGAGTAATATTAGGACAAGAACGACGACGAGGTAATAGAAGGAATTATTAGTAAAGGAGAAAGAAGCAACCGTTCTGTGCGACTGAAGGGATTGAAATGGAATGGCTTCTGTCAGATCTTCTTATGAGCTATACAAGGTAGTCTTATCTCAACCGTCTCATCAATTGAGCACCTTTCTTGATGTCTAACCCATATCTTCCAGATCGTAAAAGTTGTAAGGATTCTTCATCGGTTCTTCCGAGAATTCCTAAAAAATCTTGGGATTTAGAGTGGGCAGGGATGATATGATGCAAACCTTTGACTGCCTTTTTGAAAGAATCTCTGGCTTTCAGTTTAATGCAACTTTGTTTTTCATCATTAATCCTGGCAGTCATGCTGATAATAGCTTGCTCAAGATTAACATCAATCATCTGTTCACGACAGCTTAAATCCGTTAATTATGCATATAGTTAATAGATGAATGCTAAACCTATCAAAATATGGACAACATTGTCGCAATTTGGAGCATTTCTCTTGAATACTGTTAGCATCCTGATAACAATCCATAGCTTTTGTATACTTGTTCGCTAATACTCTTAATAAGGCATGATCATAGACTTGTTGTTCAGCCTTGTTATATGGTAAACATATGGACTCAGAGAACTATAAGATATAATTGGGTAAGCTCATATAACATAATGAAACTTACAGCTTTCTCATTTCGCTCATCCAAACACTGACGTAATTTCGTGTTACGCTGTATAACCATCTCATATAGCTCTTCATATAGAGTTATATGTGATGAGTCACACACTTCATCATTCTTAACATAATTAGGATAATTATATAATAGTTTGTTAATAATTACTTTGAATAATAAACTTTCTGAACTTTCAGCGAGCGATGTTATGACTTTGGAGGATGCAAAGTTCCAAGCGCACTGATCAACAGCCACATGCATCTGAGCTCGGCATCTCATATAAGCATCACATGTAGTATCGTTTCGAGTGGATGTCTTAATGAGGGTATCTAATTGTTTGTTATTTAACTAACTTACAGCATTATTGAAGTTGATATGGTGAGTCTTTCGGAAGTTTTCAATCTCCTTACGATACTCTTCGTTATGCCATTCGATAGGCTCCTCTTTCGTTTCTGTCCGGCTAGCTTCATCCAAATTTTCAGATATCTCGCCTTCATTACCAATTTTAATCTTGGCTATTCCATCTATAGATATGATATCATTAACGATATGAATTATTATGCCATACCATCAATAATGACAACATTTCCATTTTCGTCCTTCAACTCAGCCAATTCAATTGGCTTCTCCTCCGTTATGGAAGTGGATTCTGGCAGAGCATCACAGTTATTTCCAATTATTTCGGCATCATCATGTGGATAATCTTCCGAAGTAAAGGCTGAAATGATAATACTCAGGAAGAATATCAAGCGGGAAGAAAAAACAGAAGAAGAACAAAGCCTCTTCTTCTGTTCTCTATGTTCTCATCCGCATAACATACTGGCATTAGCTTGGTCTTTTATCAATTTCAAGTTGATGTCATCGAATTGGCTGACGAGCTCTTCCAAAGCTGTTTCAATCTGAATATGAGAAGTAGCATACATCACCCCTGATTCGAACATACTTCTTTGTTCTTCGCCTTGTCCTTGGCTGTCACAACCTTTTTACGGAAATTGCTCTGCCAGGCGTTGATCAAATCTCGTATCTATAGAAACGGGGATTGTCGAGCTTCATCATAAGCTTCTTACCTCTTTAACTCCATCACTATCCGGCTCTTCCCCTAGCAAAGTTAGAATCTTCTCATAGCGTATCGTCTTCGTGATTGTGATCTTCGATCGTCCAGCGCAACCTTCATTTGATGTCTGAGCATTTAAAAAAATAGTTTTTCTATAATATCTTTCTTTATATTACCTTGTTACCCTTGGTTACAAGGATTAACGGACTTGATGTAACAACACTTTCACCTATATCCAATTCCTTTTCCAATTCATTCATAGGCACTTTCTCTACCTTTCCTGACGCAATTCCACCCGCGTTAAATGTCGAAGCAGAGAGCTGAAACATTTTGATTCAATTGACTTTCAAGGAGCATTAACAAACCGTTCCAGCCTTTACCAATGAATCTAAGCCACTGTTGATGAACTCAGAGGACACTTTTTGAACTTTCTGATTCTCCAACTCGGCCAACTTCTTCTGAACATCGAACATCCTAGTAAAGGACTACTCGTTCACTTATGTGAATTACCTTATACTCGTTCGTATTCTTCAAGGCTTCTTCATATTTCTTATCATGATCATCAAGATTGAGCGGAAGCTGTAAACAACCGCATTCATCAAAAATGAATTCGTAAATAAACAATGCGGACGGAAATCACGCCACGTGGAATACACGTATACTTCACGTGAAAGTCACGCCATCTGTATTGTTGAATGAATAACAAACCTTCTCATTAGGAAAATTCAATTTCGGAGTTTCTGTCTTCTGCTTTGAGAGTCTGAAATCGGGAAAAAATTTAAAAATTCCAGTCACATGGCTATTACATCTCATCTTCCTTTGGCTGACGGAAGCGCACGTTAACGAATCCTGATTGTTCATCTACAAAGCGTGTGTCATACGCAAGTAGTTAGTGATGTTTACAAACCATGCAGTTGTTTGTTTTGCTGTTTTTTCAACGTTTCCACATCAGTAAAACGGACATTTACATTTCCTGAAGGAGCCCAACTAGGTTCATCGTCATGACTTTCAGCAGTTGATGGTAGGTTTAGTGCTTTCACATCTTTTCCTAACTACAAAAAGAAATAAAAAGAGGATTACAGAGAGAAATGCATTTGCAGCCGGAAACCTCACAATCCCTAGCTCGTTGCAAAAGATTCATTCGGTTAATCTTCAAATGATTAGCTGTGGTAGAGTTCAGCAATAGATGTTCGCATCTACATATTTCGTAATATCATTGTCGGAAAATCGATAATCATACTTGTTATAGGATCCACAACAGAATTTGACTGTCGAACATTCCCTTTCCCGACGTCTTTCTAATCCGGTAAAACAGTTCGTTGGTATGTATGTAATCGTTCGTTCAAAACTAAATCGTGGAACTAATCGAAGTATTTTTGATGAACATGTGCCTTTCTGTAATTCAAATTTAATTATCAAACAGCAGAGGGTTTAGAAATGTCTTCTCTTCAGATTGGAAGAGGTGTCTCTCTCTTTTTCTCTGTCTCTCTGTCACACTCTCTCTCTCCCTGTTCATCTCTGTTAACCTTGAACATTTTGACATTATGGGGAATGTACCTGAGCTTCTGTCATCTCTTCAGCATTACCAATTAAACATTCATTGAATTGTTTGTCCAATTGGATTTCCAACGATTCTAACTGAAACCATTTCTCATTTCACATCTATAGAGTATATCATGAATCTTTTGAACACATCTATCGCCGTTTCGAAGTTCTACGTGGAGTTCTTGTGAACAGCCTTATCTCGAGATGTAACTGAATGGTCTGCACAACCTTTTACGTGAACTGTTGACGTGAGTTCAAATTTTGAAAAAAACGGTCAAAGTCATTCATATTTCAGATGACGTTCAGAACGGTTGTGTTTTCTTTACAAAACAAAAACAAACCAGTTTATAATCATTTTTAAGTTTTTCATGGCATTTCTTGGGATCATGTCCGAATGGTAGCCAATAAGGCCGTTTACGGGAATTTCCTTGAATAATAAAGTCTTTAAAGAGACGAATAATAAGGCAATGAACGAACCTAAGCAAAGTCGTTCTTCCAATAAAGCTACTGATGAGCATTCAGTATAGCTTTTGCAGAATTTCACTGTTTCCAGCTGAAAAACAGATTTTGATGAGATGAATGCGGATGGGGTCAAAGCTTACTTCAGCACATTGTGTGAGAACTACTAGTAGAGAGAGAGAGACCAAATACCTCATTTATCGTCTGAATATTTACCTACTGAATCCTGTAAATGATTTCATTCGAAACTCCGCCCTGAGGCAATAGCACATGCATAGGAAAGGAAAAGAAAAAAGAAAAGGTGAAAGAGAGAATGAAGATGATCATCCATTTGATACAATTTTGGCTTTCTTTTCATGAAAAATGACCTGTATGGAAATTTTAAAGAAAAGTTTTTTTTCTTCTTTGATTTGACTAAAAAGGATAAGTTCAGAGAGATGACGAAAGAGGGAGAGAGAGAAAGAGATCGAGAATACGAATCAGAGAGAGAGACAGAGAGAAGGCCGAATGTAGTAGAAGATAGATGGAACAGCTGTTACAAAGAAAATTAGGTCAAAGGTAAGACAATCAAAACCTTGTTAGGAATGCAAAATAATTTTTTTATTTCAAAAAGGAAGAAGAAAATATAAATGGCAGATCATGACAAGGGTCTTTCTCGGTTAGAAGTAGAAGAATGGAAGCAATGAGACAGTTTCGAAAAGAGTCTTGGCCTTGAGGGTGAAGTCAATAGATGGAGTGCAGGAGGGCAACTGTGAGGGATAAGCCAAAAATGAACGAAGTTGGTGGTGTTTTCGTTTATTTACTTGTTATTACAAAACTATAAGCATCGAGGATTGCTTGTGAAATATTTTTTTGGGAGTTCGCCAACGGAAGAGGTAATTGACGTCTTCAATGACAACCCAAGACGAATCAGGACATCGCTTAGTCAGCATTTAGCTGAAAAATTTTTGTGGGTGAAGGTCGCCATTTCATCAGTAGCAGCATGACACGATAAAGTGACTTCGTCTGACGACGGAAAGCGATCAGATGAGAGCTTTAACCTCATATGGACTCCTCCCTCTTCCCCTCCTTCGAAATCGTTTCCTTTGATCAGGTCAAATGATTTGCTTGAATTGCTGATTATAGTAGTCATTATATGAAAGTTAAAAAGATTATAAACGATCTTTTCATCCTCAAATCCTGTTTGAAGCTCCGTTTTCTTATGTAAGTCAATGCTTTTTTGGTCATTCCGTACATCAATTATAGTATTAATATAAGAAGTTTTGAATGAACTCTCAGTTCAAAGAGGAAGAGAGAGAGAGAGAGATCGTTGAGAGAAAAAAAGGATTCCAACAACACAAATGGAATACTGTCTTAGAAGGGATGGAGATGAGCATGATCATAGACCGTTCGTGAGAGGTTTTGTGAGAGCAAGACACTCTACTCTCATGAAGGTAATCATCGTAAGAGTAAACGGGAAAACATTTGTAAAGTTTGTTTGTCTGTCAATCTACTTGTATGTATGAGGAAACGATGATCGTGTATGAAACCTATTTATTTAAATCAAAAATCATTCATTCATTTCTATAAAGTTAGTCAGAGGTACCGAGTGCCTTGATTTCCTGTTCGATCTCCATGAACTTGGCTCGAATGGCGTTTTGCTGTTCCTCTTGAACGTCATAATCTGCGTAGACACAGAAGTCATGGTAAGCTCCATAAATGGGGTTGTTCAGCAGAACCTGAAAAACAAGACGATAGCAAGTCTAAACTCCTTTCTCAACTCACCTCTTCATCAGTAAGCTTATATGGTTTCAAATTTTTGTTTCTAGTATCGTAGAAGAAAACCTTCTTAAGAGGGTTTTGGGACCTGTCGCCTCTGTTGATATCTCTTTCAAGAACAATTGCCCCTGCAGGCAATTGAGATTCAATCCACGTCTTCGAAAGTAAAGATTAAAAAAGAAAAAGATTAATGAGAACCTTCAGTTTACGAGGCGCATTTGGCCCAACACAGTGTAACCTTTCCATCTGAATAAATGGTATTTGATCGTTATCGTTTGTTTCCGTCAACTCACTTTGGTAACAGTTGCTGGGGATATGTTGTATGAAACGAGGAACTTGGGAAATAGTCGACGTTCCAGTTTATCTAATAGCTCCCGGCACTCTTTGAACTCCTCATCGGTCGAACGATGAATCTGAAAGCTCAATAATGAATTCATTAGAAATTGTTACTCCAACTTCATTGATGATAGAATCATCCAATCGAAGATAAGCCTCCAGGCTTTCTTTCACATTCTTGAGTTGCTTATCAAGAACCTTGAAGTTTCCGGCTTTCTTGATCACACGAACCATCCTGCAATCGAAAGTATAATTGACAGAATATGATATACATAGATAAGCAGCCAACTCAATAATTGAAACGAAAACATTAAAAAGATATACATCTCGTTTACGATGGTAACAGTCTTGTGTCTGTATATCTTGCTGTGAAGAGTTTGGCGTGATTCACCAACCATTCTGATTGACTCCACAATCTGAATTTCTGAGATGAAGCTCGATTTCACAACATGTTATCTACCTTCTTGTTATAACACAAGCGATTATGCCCTGGATGTTCTTCATCAGCAAAGACTTGGAGGTTTCCTCTGATTCTATTGACATCAACCTGTAAGTGCAATATCTACATCAATGACATCATGAAACCATTGTTACCAGACTGAAGGCAATACTACAGCCACAGGTAGCTGAATCTCTCAATATGTAATCAAACTTATCCACATCTAATCCAGTTAACGGATTCGAAACGATTTCATACAAGAACCCCTTGTCGGCTGTTCGTCCCTTCATAAGCCAATTACCTTGGTCGTCCTAATACACAAGTTAACATTCATAACACGTCATTAACTTACAAAAAGTTTTTTAGGGGGTTCAATCAGTTCTGCAATGAACGTCACGTTCCTTTCATACTGCTCTCCTTCTCCGAAATATGGGGTGAAAGCTTCACGAATGTAATCCACGTTGAAAACTCTGTGAACAATCTCAACCGATATATCTTCGTGCTTAAAATGCTTTGATATTGATATGATAAGAAGTACCGCTCACCGATCTTCCTGGGAAAACTTCCTCAAAGAGATGAGAGAATGCTCCATGACCTAATATGAACATTATGCTCCAACATACAGATTTCTAAACATACCGGTGTCATGATAGAGTCCTCCGATGCTGACACATAGAATATCCTGACTTGTTATATTCAAGTTCTTCCCATAGTTAGCCTTGAGAGTAGTAGCAAACAGATAAGCTAGATGATAAGCTCTAAAATATGATTTGATACAACTATCATCATTTCATCATCGAGTGAGTATACCCCATTGAATGTCCAAATCTATCATTCGTGGCTGAATGATAAACATAATTACAAACACCCATTTGTTTTATATGTCGTAAACGTTGGAGTTCCTAGAGTTGTTTATGCAAATTTCGTAAGAATTGATGACGAAATTATACCTTTCGATCGATTAGGAGGTTTATAGGATAGAAGACTTGTATATTGCCATGTATGAAATCACAGAAGTCTTTACTCTGAAAGCATAAAGACATGAAGGATGTTCATGAAGAGGAGATGGGTTGTATGAGCTATGAGATGGGAAAGGGAAGGGATTGAAGAGCACTTACTGGTCTCTGTGGATCTGGCCATTCACTGCTGCAATCTGGCTGTACCTGAAACACAGCCATTGTAAATGAGAAAATGAATTAGAAATCAGTGTATATATATGCTTCGTGATTGACATCACAACTGCTATCTTACTTACCAACATAAGTGACTGATCTCTCTGAAGATGATTTTCTGAAATGAAAAAAGAGGTACAACCGTTCAAACTGCATACAATCATTAAAATGATCTAACAGCTTGAAAACAAGAAAAAGACACGAAAGGTATGTTCATCAGATGAAACATCTACACGTGATCGCTTACACGTCACTCACGGCATTTCAATGAATATCAACAAAAATTAGAATAAAAGCAGTATAGAAGCAACGCTTTTGATGATTTATTGATTTTTGTATCTGACCAGCTGCTTGACCCAATGGGTCAACTGAGGTCTTCTTGCTAACATCAAAATAACTCTCGCAGCTGCTTCATTCAACTTCTTCATCACTATGAAATGTGAAATAACAAGAAAAAAGGAGAATCTGCCTATAGATGGATGTTTGAACAGTTCATTTCATCATAATTAGCATAATCATATAAATGAGAGACAATCTGCAGCTCTCAACAGACAATTGATTGATTGTAACTGTGTTTTGTTTTACAATAGCAAATTGGAGATGATGTACATCTTTTTCCTTTTTTTTTCTCTCATTTTTGATCTCAAACTTAAACAGCATTGTCTGTTTTACAGAAAAGAAAAAAAAAGCTTTTACAAAGTGCTTTTAGATGGATTCTTGAACTTTGTCATCTTTCGTTACAGCCAGATTGGAAAGAAGGGACAGCTGGGGGGGTCTGTATGATACTTCCGAAACAACTATAACAACACCTTCATGATCATTATCTTCTCTTCAGAATAGAACCCCTTCTATGTCTTCGTCGTCATCATCATCTTCTTCTTCTTCTTCTTCTCCCCTTTTTGCTATTCTCACCAACCCCTCTTCTTAGTTTTCTCCTGTCAATTGTTCAGCTTAACTGGTTCTTTTGACCGTATGTGACTAAAGATGAGCCGACCGATGTGGATTTGGTTTTGTTGTTCAGAGGAGAGAGGGGGGGGGATAGCTTTGAAACTATTTGCCATATTTCTCTTCATGCAACTGGAAATACTGTACAAACAGAAGAGATAACAGAAGAAGAAGAAAAAAAAAAGAAAAAGAATATACTAAGAAGATGTCTTAGAGAGAGAGATAGAGGGAGAGAGAGAGAGGTATGAGATGTGAAGAGAGAGAAAGAGAGAGATAGAGAGAGAGAGAGAGATTTTCGGTTGTATCGTCGGCAGACCAGAACCTCTTAAGTCATGATGTCCATTCAAATCATTTCATTCACAACCTCTTCGACTGAACTACAAAACTTTTTGTATTTAGCAACTTTTGATTTTTGTGCAAAAATGCGAAATCCGTCAGTTAGCACGGTGTCATTTGCCATATAAGGGGATATGAAAAGTGTTTTTCTTATCATTTGCCAAGACTTGGTGATCACATCACTTTCTTTTTCCTTTCACTTTTCTCTTTTTTTTATTCTCATCATCATCCACATACTATAGCCCCCCTGAGGCAATCTAGAAATGACTTCTTCGCCACCTCTGCCCCTAAATAGCCTTGAATGAAACCGGCTCATGCCGTTCACATCATCATATCGTCTCGGCTTTATCTCGTGTTTCTCTTGTTTTTCTCTTTTATCAACTGCTACATTGGGAATCAGCTTATACGGAAATGAATCGTTCTCACGTCATTCCATCCGGTCGTTAACTCCTTTATGATAGTTGTTTCATTTTTCTTCTTTTTTTTTTGCTTCTGAAGTTGTGTCATCACTGTTTTTGCCACCTATCTCAACTACCACCCACCCCCCTCCCTCGCTCCTTCTTTCATCCAAATCACCAGGTTCGTCAAATGAAATCGGCCTTTCTGTCTACCTGAAGCCATTCTGGGAACATCAGGATTTCCGTCCTGTGTGTTTCTGTGTGCATAAGGATGACGATCGCCTGACTACTGTCCTTCTTCAATTCGATTCGCTAATTCATAGAATTCTGTCTGTTTTTACAATTTCTTTCGTCATCCTTCTAAGATTTGAACTTTACCAATTGACGTCGCTCAACACTTTTTACCTAATTTGTTACAAAATGTTCGTCTGATCGCATCTGATAAAGAACTTCTGGAACGGTTCTATGAGCTCTTATGGTGAATGAAAACATTCCCTTTGCGGTAACTGTCTAGTACGGGGGAATCGGGGTAGGATAGGGGAAGTTTTCAGTTGCAATTGGAATGAAAGCTATAGTCGTTCGTTCTGTTCCTCGTTTTCCTCCTCTTCACGTATAAAGCAGGTCAAAAGCTGCTTCTCCTCTTCTCAAAATCTTCTTTTTGAAGTTTTGAAAGTTAGAACATCTTCTATTCTGCATTCGTCATGCAGATGTCCTCCTGATACGTTCTGATCCTATTAAAAATTTTTTTTAGCGTAGTCCAAACCCATTTTTCTCTCTTTTGTTAAAGAAACTGAAATCGTCGAAGTGTCTTCAGATGTTTCATTCACACCAATAAAGCTGTTTATGGCTTGAGGGCATTGAACGGCAATTTCTTTTTTCTCTCATTTCCCACTTTCTGCTTTCCTGAGAGCTTAGCCAATTTACCTTGAAAGTAAATTCCTTTAACGGTTCTTTGTATTAGCATAAAGTGTGACCGATGGGTCTTGTTGTTCTTCTCTTTTCTTTAAAAATATTAATCAAAATTTTCACACACACAGACAGCCATACAGCCACACAAACAGGTATTGTCTTGAAGGCGAATACAAGCAAGCTGTGAAAAGTTGCCAGAATAGCCTGAGGCGTCTTCTCCTTTTCTCTTTATCTTCCTTCCTCCCTTCCTTCATACAACTTCTATACTATACAACAATCCTGTATTCTTTGTCTTTTCCCTCTCTTCCTGTTCTCTCTCTCTTTTCCTCTCTCTCTCTCTCTCTATCATTCTCTTCTTAATGATCACTTGCTTTCAACACTTTTTTACCTCCCAAATCAATTATGTTGAACTATCTCTCTCTCTTTCCCTCCCTCTCTCTCTCTCTCTATCTCTCTCTCTGTTAATCAACTGGTTAACTCTCCCAATTTTCGAAAAATTTTATTTCGTTCAAGACGATAAGAACATAAAAAAAATGTTCTCTTTCAACATTCTCACGCCCAAATTATTTACATTTTTGAAGGTTACAGCTATTATCCATTGAAGCTTAAGCTATTATGAGCTTCTGAATCACAACATAATCCCTTTGATCTGACTTTTTTTTTCCGAAAATGGCTAAGTTCTTCAGTCGCACTCATCGTTCTCCCTCAACTCAGTCATTGGCTTTGTACCATTGTAGTTCAATTACCAAATTTTGAGGAGTTCTGTTGTTTTGTAGTTTAGCCCTGTCTTCCCTCTCTGTGTATATTTCTGACTCTTTAGCTCTCTCTCTCTCTCTCTGACTGACTGTCTGTCTCTCTATTCCTAACCTTCACTTTCTATTCAAATCATTTATCATTAATTTATTGGAAGGAATTTATAATTAGGCGAAGAATATACGTCATAGTTGATAACTGGATTGTCTGCCTGTGTTGCCTTCTCTCCTTACTCTTCCCACATGCCCCCTATCTGATCCAAACTTTTGTTTTGTCAAGATTAAAGTTAAACAACTGTAAAGCTGCAAAGAAACGAGAAATGAGATCAAAAAGAGAAATTGTATTTGAAAGTCTTTGCCGACGATCAGCCAAGCGTGTTATACAAGCCAATGGCTTCTCAAAAAAATTATCCGGATTCTCATTGATTTAACCCATTAAACACAGAAGTAACACTCGTATGTAACTTTCCTCTGCCTTTTCGTGATCCTTAACTCCCTCTTCCTTCCCTTCTCTCTCTCTTTTTCTCTCTTTATCTATCAATCTTCCTCCTCTCTCTCTCTCTATCTTTCCCTTGTTGTCTCGATCCACCTTCCTCCTCGGTACTTCTTTTTTCCCGCAAAATTACACAAAACAGATTTCATGTAATTCAATTAGTCTCTTTTTTGTAATTTTTCACGCAAGACTCTTATACCTGCACGTGTCTTTCTCATTTCTTTCCCAAAGGAACGGATGGAACGGTCGGCTTTATGTATTCTCTTGCTTTACACCTTGAAGGCAGAAAACTTTCGCTTTCCCTCTTGTGTCCTCTCATTGAGTCCAAAAAACAATCTGGGTTCAATCTCTGTCATTCATTGTACCTCACTCTCTTTCTTTCTTCACAAGCAGCTTCTCCCTCGCTATTCGTTCTACCCTCCTCACGTATCTCATTTGTCTTCGAAATTATATTTTATGCTAATTTTATTCTTTTTTTCTTCATTTATCGAGAACATGTCTAACAGATGGCAACAACTGTATCTTATAGACAAAAGCCAGTTTTTAGCTTAAACCTCGCTCCTTCTTATGGCAGCTTCTCAAGAAAACCCACCCCCAAACCCCCCCCCCCCCCCCCCCCCCCTCCTCTCACACACCTCTCTTCCTCTCTCTCTCTCACACTTACCATCTCAGTTCGATTCAAATAGAAATAAAAAAAGTTTTTTTTCTTGTCTTGTTCCTTATCAAACTACAAAAATGGATTTACAGTGTGTGTAACCTTTGCTCTCCCTCGTTAGTCTCAGCGATCTAACGAAAATTAGTGGAAAATGGCCTTTTTTTATTTTTATTTCATCACCTCCTTGTTCCGTCTCTCTATCTCTAGTGATTCTCTCTCTATCCATCTATGTTTCTTCTTCTTTTTTCTTTTTTTTTCTCAGAAGTTTCAATCTCTTCTTTGACCTTTATACAACGTTTATAAAATGCTATCAAATTCAAATTATGTTTCTATGAGGACGAGGACAATTGAGGGACATTTGATGTGAAAACGTCACTGAGAATCAGTATTCATGACTTGATTCTCCAATTGTTCCTCAACGGTCACTCTCTCGAGATTTTCTTATATTATATTAATTTTATAACTTATATGTATATAAGATGTAGAGCATGGGTTATACCCCCTACCATGTCATCTTCTTCTCTTATTCAAGTTTCTTCATTTAAGGTAATGCGGCCACTCGAGCGATTTTTCCACGGATATGGAAAACTTGTAGCACGACATCCATGGCCATTCATTGTAATCTTTCTTTGTTTCTCTCTTTCATGAGCTTATATGTTTGGTTATAGATCGTACCTGTGATACTAACAATCATATCCTCATATGGATATAAATACTTTCATAGTCAGGACGATATTTGGGATATCTATGCACCAACCAATGGACGTTCACGAGTAGAAGAAGCTGGCTTGAAGCCATTTGAATATGCTTCTGGATCACATCATCATCGTGTACGTGTTTTAACTTCTTCTTTTATTTCGAATTTAATTGACATTTTCCTATTTGGAATGTCAAATGAACAAGTTCGCTATGAAAAGCTTTTACGTGGCTTTTATCGTCACGTGGAGAAATTCCACGTGAATTTTATTTTATTGGAATGACGCGCTGGATGCGGCTGTTCTCTTCATTGCAAATGAAATGAAATGCAAATTTTAGATGCAAATTATCGTTACGAAGAAGAATGGAGGCAATCTCTTACAAAGTTACTTATTGAAAGAAATGGAAGAAGCACATAAGGTAATGAAGACTCATGGCAGCTATCGTATACTGAATGCTTAAGTATGTAACTGAGAACATCACGCTGTTCAATGGAATTCGCGAGTTTGAATACAAGGAAGTATGTGGAGCTTACTGTAATGAAAGCAATGGAGCTGTCTTAGCTTTCCTTCAAGTAACTATATTATATAATTAAGATATAGTTATCATCTCTTTCAAGGCTTTCACCACTCCTGAACACTCTCCAAGTATAAAACTGACTTTCCCAAATGCTGAAGCTTTGCAACGAAAAATATTCATTGGATACTCAATTGGAAATCTTACTTTCAAGAACGGTAACCCTGATGAAGAAGTTAAAGAGATTCGGATGGTACTGTTACATTATATGGTATGGTTAACGGCTTTAAACTTTATGACCGAGTACTGTATTTGAAGGTTGACACGAACATTATGAATGGCAAAGACATGGCTCTCGACTATGAAATGAAACTGCGTAAAGTTTTCGATGCTTTAACTGAAGCATCCCCAGAGCTGAACTATCAATTCTTAAGTCGAGTAAGAGAACTGGAAGAGCAACGCAACATTACCATAATGGCTGTACCGTTCCTTTCATTAACCATCTTAGTGTTGACATGCTTCATGCTCATCACGCTGATTGACTTCCCATTATATCGCAGTCAACATCTTGAGGTAACTAACTATACGTATAATAGGCTTCATCACATTAATTATATTTCAGTCGCTGATTGGTGTTATATCACCTATGATGGCTCTCTGGACTTCAGCTGGTTTTCTGTTTTGGCTTGGATTCCCATTCAGTAACATTCTGACTGTCGTCCCATTCTTAGTTATAACTATTGGAATTGATGATGCTTTCCTCATCTTAGCTGGGTGGAGGCAATCCACGTATGTCGCATAATCAATATAGTTAGTAATTGAGTGATTATAGGAAAGGAGCTTCATTAGAAGAAAGATTAGGAGAATCAGTAGCTATTTCTGGTGCATCAGTTACAGTAACTTCTGTAACAGGTATGTAGCTTAGGCATAATCAACTAACTATATGATATAATTACAGATGTCCTATGCTTCGCTATAGGCTTATTCTCAAATATGCCTGTTGTTCAATTATTCTGTTTATACACAACTGTTTCCTTGTTTGTTGATTTCTTTTATCAGGTAATGATACTCTTAACTATATGCACATAGTTAACATGTTATAGATGACTATATTTACTGCCATAGTTGGAATTATTTCCAAAAGACAATTAGCTAAAGATGAAGAGAAGGTATGCAAAAGAGAAAGCGATTTCTTCATTTACTATGCTGATTATAGGTTGATCATTCGTCCTTTGAACGTATAAAAGCTAAGCTTAAAGAGACAACCGGAATTTCCAGCTTCTCTTTGGGTTCAACTAGCGACAAGTCATACTTGGAAGAGTTTGTATCTCATTTGCATACAAGACCCATCCAATTGTTGATCCTTGGAATATTCTTCACGCATATAGGGGTGAGATACCAGATATATATTATATCGTATAGTTAAAACCTATAGGTCGGATCATACTTCGCTGCCCAGGTTAACACGGACTTTGACATGGAAAACCTCTACTTGCACGATTCTCCTTTGACTGATATCTCACGCCGTATGCAGGTAAGGAAGTAATAACAGAATGAGGAATATAACTATGCCATTCAAGGATTTCTTACTCCGAGAGGCGTTTGTTGTCAATTTCGCTGTTCAACCTATTCCCGATTTCTCTGATGAGATTCTACGTGAAGAGTTTGAAGAAATGCTTGTAAAACTCGAGTCGATTCCCAAATACGGAGGCGGAAGTGATCGAACCAATGTTTGGACAAGAGATTTTGGAAACGTAATCATACTTCTTGTTTTACTTTTTAATCAAAAATATGTTTTGAGGCTGTTGCCTTTTGGGGTGATGAAGAAAACTTCTGGGAAGAGACAGAGTTGTTGAAGAACTATCGTGAGTATGGCATGGAAGAGAAGTACATCAACACAAAGTGAGATTATAAACTATATGATATAGTTAACTAATGTTTGATAGGAACACTTCAAGAGGAGAAGTCATTGATGGTTTCTACTTCTCAATGACCTATCACAACATGTCATCCTTCTTAGAAGTCGAAGATATGATGTATAAACGGTAACACATAGTTAATGATAGTTAGTATAATAATTATAATTGAAGACGTGATATCCTAGCAAGCTATCCTCAATTCCATATTCTCTCTCATCATCCATTTGAGAAAGTACCAACAGAGAGTGCTGCCAGTGCTCCATCCAATTTCTATCAAACAGTCGGTTAGTTATATACATATAATATATAAAAAATAATAATTTATATTGTATTATAGTAGCAGCTGTTACATTGATGTCTCTTCTTGTTCTCTTGTTTGTTTTGAATGTTGAAGCAATAATATCAGTTGTTATTTCAATCATTTCCATATGTATAGGTAAGTCTCTCATTTTGATTAGATTATATGATATAGTTAACTGTTTCTATTGTAGGTGTTGTTGCATATCTTCATCTGTGGTCTGTGCATTTGGATGCTGTTTCTCTCATTTCCATTCTTATGAGCATTGGTTTCTCAGTTGATTATTCAGCTCATGTCTGCTATCACTACTTTGCACATGCAGCTGAAGAAGAGAAAGTACTTCCCCTTGATTATAGAATTGCTTATTCATTGATTGTTATTAAGGAACATGGTAAAGCTAATACAGCTACAATAGAATCTCAATCAACAAGCACTGAATCAACGGATTCGTCACAGAAGTCAGATACATCATCGTCATCATCTACATACTTCCGAATTCTTGTTACATTGAGAGGTGTCGGCTGGCCTGTCGTTCAAAGCGGTCTTAGCACAATTATAGGTAATTAGCTATAGTTTAATTGAGTTAGTCATACAATCCATATATTACAGGAATGTTCCCTTTGATGTTCATACAAGCATATGTCGTTGCTGTCTTTTGGAAAACTGTGATACTTGTTGGAATTCTTGGAATGTTCCATGCATTACTATTACTTCCAGTTATTTTTATTCTTACAAATGATCTTAAACGGGCTATCATCTCCTTATATAGAGGACATTAACACATTCATACCCTTACCCTTACATCCATACCCTATCTATACCATATACCATAACCTGTCCCTTAACTTACTCATACATCTCACTACAAGTTCACTTACTCTCTCTCTCTCTCTCTCTCTCTCTCTCTATCTCCTCAAACCCTATGGACTCACGTTTTTTTACTTTTTTTTTCCTTTTTTGGTCATTAATCCCTATACTTTTTGTTTTTTTTTTCATTTTCAGACCCTTCAATCAGATGTTTTTCCTTGTTTGTACATACAAGTAGCAGTTATATGTCAGACCGGTGCTTTATTCTTAAAAAAGGAACGAAATTTCAATTTGTAAAATAAAAAAATTAAAAAATATCTTGTTCGTACCTCTATTTCATCATTTTCGTGCATAAATGTACGAAGGTGCACTGTATTCACTTATCTACTTGATCATTGTAAGTTGATGGTTGTTGTGTTGTCATTGATAAGAAGATAATCGATAATCATCTTTTGTAGGTAAGTAGTATGGTGTTATCCATACATATCACTTTCATAAGTGCCTATATAAGGAATAAGAATATGAAAAATTCTTTTAATTTGTTAACTGTCTATCATTCAAGCTTACATCTACTTGCTACGTTAAGCTTAATGGTCGCTTTCGTTTTTGGAGCATTGTTTCTTTAGCTATTCATATAGTTAGTGTAATTATATGTTATTAAGGGAATTGCTTGAGATTCAAACATACTTCACTCTACTCATAGATGTAGCTCAACTCATCTTACCTTGTTCGGAAATGGCTTTAGCCATCAATCGATTCGCTGCAATCAAATATTGGAAAAGCTATGATGATCTGTTTAGAAAACGAAATTGTATTGTTAAGTTCTTCAAATATTATTCTTTTAATTTCTAAAAATATATTTCAGATTATGCTGTTGTTTGCTTCCATATTGGGTGTGACTCTTGAACTCTACAGTTTCATTCTATGTGGTATGACCTTGTGTGTAGCCGCCCTTTAACCTCCTATATCCCCTTTGCACACGACCACTATGCTATTACTCTATGTTCTATGTCGTCCTCTCTATCTTTTCACTACCTATCCATAAATGGATATTCATTCACGTTTATCCTATATCAGACATACACCACACACATAGACACACACACACATCGCATCCCTTTGCAGAGTTATCTAATGAACCTTAACCATTCCAGATTGTAGACACTACTTTGATATGAACGCTTTACGTACTCATTCCTTGGTTCCTAACAATGACTGTATGAAGAATCATATCCGTATAAATGCTTTCTATGATATCCCTATTAATGGTACATCATATGTTCTCAACATCACCTCCTTCATACTTGTTCTTAAACACTTCGTAAGTCCTTGCTGCAGTCTCATCTCTTCCACCTTCTTACATAGAGAAAATCCAAGAAGAAAATAACGAAGAAAAAAATTTTGGGCAACATGAAGTTGTTGACATTCTCATCTCTTCAACTGGTTTCATCTTCAACTGCTGCCGTGCTACATACTGTTGTACCTCATGAAGCTTTAACCCCTTTCTTGGCATTTGTAGTTATAACATCATCTGTTCTAAACAAAAGCATATTGGATGGGTAAGTGATAGTCTTGTCACACTTCTTTAGCTCCCTACCTCTCTATCTCTCTCTCTCACGCGCATATCTCTCTGCGTCTCTCTCACTCTTTCAAACTTCTTGTTACCAGTCTCCTCTCACCTCTGACACTCATTTTTTTTATTTTTAGACTTCTATTAATGATTCTTCATAGAAAAATATATTTTTCTGCTCCACAATCAGTGATTATCTTCAGCCGCTGATACCGTAACCCCTAATTACCATATGATTACGGTAGTTGAGCTTTGTGTGTGTGTATGATTACGTAATGACGAGATGTATTTATGTGTTTACAACCTTGCGAACCAAAATATTTTTACATTTTTGTACTTTTTTCTTGAGAAGATAATTGTTTTTGTTTCTCACCTCTTCCTCCTCCTCCTCCTCCTCTTCTTACCCGCCTACTACATATGCACACATACTCACTTACTTACTCACGCACTCACATACACAGATTAACCTTGTTTTACGATTCACGTGTCATATGGATATGTGTGTGTGTATGTGTGTATGTGTGTATATATGTTGATTGTATTCTGAGTTTGATGCAGTTTTCGAAGTCAGCAGGAGGTTAAAGAGGCTCATCTAGCGTAACGACCTCTATTCTCATCCTCAATTCTTTGCATCAATCAATCAATATTTATATTTAAAAGCTTATGTAATAGTAATTGTCTGTTTTCTATTTATAAATCAAAGATCTCTATTGTTGTAATCAATCAATATGTATCATAATCATATCAATCTGTATGGATGTATATAGTCTGATCTATTGATTCCTTGTTTGTCTCATCATTTGATTGTCTTTGTGTTCACCCAAAAACTGTTCAAGAAAATACAAAAATTCTTATAATCATCAGTGTTTCCCTTACTCGTACTCTCCCTTCCTCTTTCTCTCTCTATCAGTGTGTTTGTCTCTCTCTCTATCTCTCTTTACCTCTCTCTCTCTATGTCATTATCTGTATGTATCTCTGCAGTTGACTTCTTATGGTTATAAAAGAACAATTTGAATTTTCAATTGATTCTATTAAATGTCGTCATAACCTACATTTCAATTCGTTTTTCTTTTTAAATGACCTAAGGCGATTTGTAGTCTGAGGATCTTCTCTTCAGTTGGTTTTTTCTGTTCAAACCTAGCTGCGTACCTTCTTCCCATTTCGTTCTATCCGTTTTCCTTTTACCTTTATTCCATATACACTTCCTCTCTCTACGTCATTCTCTCTCTCTTTCTCTCCTTTCTTGCTAAGATGCTCTTATCCTTCTTCTTCATTATTGTGACATTGAAAGAATACGAAGAGTTCGATCAGTTTTTAAACTCCACCCTTGCCTCTCTCCTCTCTCCATCCCGGTTTCTTGCTTTCCATCATTCTCGATACTAAGTGATGAATTTGTGTTAGCCATTTAAGAAATCTAACGTCATCATTTGTCTGCAAAGCAAAAAAACTAATGAACAAGGTCTTCTCTAGCGATTATCATTTTGTAATTGATTGAAGTGTGTAGTGTAGGTGATGTTGGTAGTGTAGTCGTTGGGGGAGTAGTGTAGTCGTAGGGCTAGAAGGCTGACCCCAAAAAGTTTGGTCAACCTATTCTCTTAACTATATGTAGTTAAATTATAATTATGTGGTAGTTACGGCTGGATTCCTTCTATAATTTTTAGTTGTTTTGTTGTTAGTAAAAAGAGAAACGTATCAGTAGAACTGGATGAGAACAGGAGGGGGGGGAGAGATGAGTGTGGAGGAGATATAGCTTTCACTAGGAGTTGCGACTGTAACGGCATCCTCCTCCCACCACCCGTCCCCCTTAGCTTGCTTGTATGTGCTTCTTCTTCTTATTCTCTTCATTCGACCTCACTTATCATTTTTTGTGTTGTGTTCAGAAGTGACTGACGATGACTTTGGTTATTATGGTGCGTGTCCTCTCGCATCGTGCCTCTCGTCACTTACTCCCTCTTTTCATTTGAAAGCCATAGACACTTTGAAGCTTATGTTGATTTTCATTTTTCAAACTAGTTTCTAGTCTTTCTATTGTCTTTGATTCATTTGCCGTTTGATGTAAGCTAAGTTCCTATTGTAGTAATAGATGTTGGGATGAAGTTGTTGTTGTTGATGTTCTTGTTCAATACTTACTTACGTCTTTGTATTGGTTTTTGTATACGAAGAACATAAGCTACAAGCTGCGACACTTGATGGATTCTTCATGTTTTTTTTTCTTTTCCAAACTAGCTTCATACATAAGAAAAGCTGTAAAAATGGTTTTGAAAAGAAAAAAAGACGAGCCAACAGAGTGAACGAGAATGAGAGAGAGTGCAACTGGGAGAGAGAGAGATAAAGAGTATTATGAGCAAACAGAAACTAATTCTGAAGATTCTTCAATGTTCGTTTTCATTTCCATGTTCATGTAGTAGTCTGACGTGAAACGTGTATCACGTTACGTGAAATGAGCGTACGTGAAATGACGTGCATGTAGTTGATATATTTCATTTGGTCACTTGCTAGCGGTAATGAACGGTTGTATGCTTATTAAGCCCGCCTCCATATTCAATCATAGCATCTCCACATCCCGACATTTCCACTTTCTCTTGATATTCATTCTTTTCTCAATTAATATAATAATCTTGAAGAGCGAGAAAGAGATATTGGTTTAAGTTAGTTAGAGTCTTCGCACATTAATCCGAAGATCAAAATCGTTGTCGAACCTGTTCAGTATAAGGCTTAAGCTGTCGCTTTTTGACGAGAATTCGTTGGAACATGTAGCCGATGAAGCAAACTTCCTCAAGCATTTCATCTCATTTAATTCACCTTTGTTCCTTAAAAGCTTTCGATAATTTAATGATAGCTTGAAAGGAGAAGATGAACATCCAGTCTGTTTAACTGACCAAGGCCATGTATGGTGAGCTCACACGTCATCAAGAAGGACGTCGTCATTTTCAAGTTTTCCATCTGAAACATCATGCAATTACATTAGTAGTTATCTTCACGTAACTCTTCTTCTTCTTCTTCTTTCATCTGTTATTTCTCTTTCTTTCTCTTCTCTCCCCCCATCCACCCTCCTGCCCATCATCCTGTGGCGCTCTCCTCTCTTACACCCATTCCCACCTCTCGTCCGAGAATTTATCCGAAGGTGACAGTTTTCTCGAATTTGGAGAAAAAAAGAAAAAAAAAACTTTGACTACTTGTGTTGTCCTTTATCTGTATAAGCTGCCTTGTCGTGTTTGCTCATCTTAATCGTATCGTATGCATTCTTCTGAAAACATTTTTCTTCTTTCAGGATCTCCAGGACTGACCATTCACTCTTCAATACACTCACTTACTTCTAACCAAAGGTTTATTTTTATCTTTCTCTTGCATGTCTCTATCTATTCAGTTTTTTTATTTTCATTCTCTTTCTCCCCCCCCCCCTCTCTCTCTCTCTGTCATTCTGTTCCCGATGTGTGAAAATGGAGTGAAGATTTGACTGAAATCCATATCTATCACTTAATCAAACTATAATAGTATCGTAGCCAATTGAAGCCTATCGTCTGTGTGTCCGGCATAATTCAGTCAGGTTCATCCCTACCATCCCCTCTCTCTTTCAACCATCCCCCCCCCCCCCCCCCATCCCTTTTATTCTCATTCTGTACAATGTTGAAGTTTGTGTCGTGATAGTGACCAATTTGACGACTTCAAGTTTGTCGGGAGAGAAATAGCTTTGCGGTTTTGTTCCAATCTCTCCCTTTATCATTGGCGACGTCTTTATCGAATAACAGTTCGGTGGTCAGCATCGTGGATGCTTTGACGAGAAGCCGGATTTCTGTACTTTTGTCTTTCTATTTCTCACCTTCCATCCAAGGATGTAAAGCAAATGATTCACTCACTTACCCATTCGTTTCTCCTCCACCCCCTCTCGTTCTCCCATTCTCTCAATGCTGAAACATCCTTCTTCATTCAAGTCGTCTGTATCCAAAGCTTGCAAAATCCAGCATTTCGTCTTATCTATACTTGCCCTCAATTACCATTTATGGCTTTTTATTATTTCGTAAAGTATATATTTGGACATGTCAGTGAAATTGGCTGATTTCCAACTGTCACTTCGTTTCTCCGTTCAATCTTCGGTGTGTCGGTGCCTTCTGGAACCAAATTACATCACCTGAAAGACATCTCTAAAGCGAGTAAGAGAGAAAGAGACATAAACATCTTGCTTAACTATAAACTACGATATGTTTTGATTGGTCTTAGTCATATGCATAGTTAGCTGTATATATATATATATATTCTTATAAGCCATATAAGAATAGCTAGTGATGGTGTTGCTGTTTCTACACACAGACAGACACACGCACACACAGCTCAGGTTAAAAGAGACAAATTTCTCTTTTGATCTCTTTTTGCGAGAGAAGCCGGATTCATTCTCCGGTTTTGATCTATTATCTCTTTTTCTCCTCCGAACTTATGAGAAATGAGAAGACGGCTATATGTTATCTAATTATATCCCATATTAGGAGGTTTTTTTCCTCTTTTTCTCTTCAACCGTTAACTATGTCAACAGATGGATTGTAACATTGAGGAAGAATTGTACTTTAAAGGAATTTTTTAATTTGAATTCTTGGCCTTCTACTTTCATTCATTGTACTCATCATTGTTGCACATCATCGTTCTTCTCACTCTTCCTTCTCCTCTTCTTCTTCTTCTTCTTCTGCTACTACTACTACTTGTGGTGTTCACTTTTAAAATCCTCTCGCCCTCCCTCCTTAACACTCATATAAGGAAGTTTGCATTTTGCTTTTCGCACAACCACTGTCGATCATCATCATCAGACTGTGCTCCTTGAAGTGTAATTGAAGTAAGTAGAGTTTACATTTCTTTTTTATAATCTTCACTATGCATTCATCTTTTTAATCAGCACAAAAACTCGTTCTTCTTCCATTTTTTTCATCTTTCGCTCCTTTCTCAGCTGTTTTTCCTTTTTTTTTTATTTTCCTTACTTCCTGTAATACGTCGTTGTTGCATTTGAAAATCTCTTTCACCTGAGGGTCCTTTGTTCATTTCCTCTTTCATTCTTTCATTTGTCAACTCTACTCATGGAAAGTATGTATGATGACTAGTCCTCATATGCCGTCTACGTGAAGCTCATCATCGTCATCAGTATCATCTGACCTTACCATATATAGATAGAGAGACAGATGGATTGTACGTGAAGCTCACGTTAGTTGACGTATTCATATGGTCACACGTCGTCACTCTTCAGAAGTTCATATGTTTTCTACTAGTTTTGTATATGACATACTCGTACACAATCGGTACATCTCTCTCTCTCTAGATTCTCTCTTAGTAACAACTATACAACCCTCTCTCTTCTACAAAATATCCGGTCTTCTTTGCTGAGACCATTCGTCTTCTCCCCCTCTTTCTCTCTCTATGTCTCTTTCAACTGTTTCTTTGAATAATCCACCTAGTTATCTGCCAATTGCTACAGTCGACTCCATTGCCACTGATATTAGTTGAGAATGATCATTTTTCCTTTTCGTAATCTCATATTATTCATAAATCTCGTCATCTTATCTAGCAATCCGTCTCTTTCATTTCTTGTCGAAGCTGTCTCAGCTGCATCTGTTAAGCGTAGATTGGTTGAGACAAACTTAATGTCCATATTAGGAAAGTGAATTGAGCGTCAAGTGGATTGATTTTAAGAGAGAGCAAAAAGGCATCAAAAGGAGGGAACAATTAAGACGGAAAGAGTTAAAGAGAAAGTGTCGTCGTCGAGAAAATGTTGAACTTCTAGTGGGAGGAGAAACAGGTATTTCTGTCAGATCGTATTCTGTGTGTCGTCATCCTCGACGTCGTCTGACCCACATAAATCGACGTCGTCCGCTATCCAAATTGTCCTTTTTCATTGTGATCCTTGACACTCTCATAATGATTTGAGTAAAAGCGAAAAATGTTTTTTCTGTTTGTTTATCTTATTGTCTGATGGTGATACGGATGATGAAGCTAATTGACTTCAGCTTCATCTCTGAATGACTAATATGACATCATCATTGTATATCGTCAGCTTCTGGTGTATAGTATGAGCAAGAGGACAGGTAGTTCGTTAAATCCGCCAGTCTTCTGATTCTCGTTTGATTATCCTATCTTCTGATAAAGCATCGCTTCGACCGCATATCTCGCATGATTCACTTGTCATTTCCGATTTTCAGCTTTTTTGCGTGCTTGTCAGTCCTTTTACAAGTTTTTTTCTGTTCTTTCTTACCCTATCTACGTGTGCATGAAACATCCATCTATCCGCAATTTTGAGGAGTCGAAATTGAACTTCTACCTATGTGTTGTGTGTGTATGAGACGACACCAATTGAAATCCCTCACGACGTCGTCAACTTTTTGTCTGACTTTCAATTGGCCTGACGAAATGCTTATTGGCCGCAACTTGGATCATGAAACAGAATGAATGATTAGACCGTGTGAGGACATGAACGACGTCAACTTCATGCAAAAGGGAGAAAAAGAGAAAAAGAGAGAGAGAGAGAGAGGGGGGACGGCGAGGGTTAAAAGAAGACGAGGCTGGATGTCCATCTGTATTGAAGAGTTGTATAAAGACTGGTCGAATAGATTCAGACTTTTCACTTTTCGCATTTCAACCAATCATCTATTGAAATCGAGCTACTTTTTGGGCTACTGGATAGCCATTTTTTGCTTCTTCTTCATCTCCCTTGTTCTTTCATCCATCTTCATCCATTTGCTCTTATTAACCATCACTACTCATCTTTGCTTTCTACCAAGTATCTCCAATTATGGTCATCCCTTTTTTTTTGGATTTCTTTACCAAATATGTCCTTTGTGTGTCCAACTTGATTCGTTGGTGTCATTCATCCAATACTTAGATTAATGGATAGAGGAAGCTTCTATTATCCTTATACCCATATATGGAAGTACATTCTCAACCTTCTTCTTCTTCATCTTTGAGATGTTCATCTATTGTATATTGCTATTCATTCTCTCTCTCTCTCTCTCTTTCTTTTTCTCTCTTTCTCTCTCTCTCTCTCTCTATTTTACAGCCATTTTTTAGTTGCCTTGAAGAGTTCTCTATTCAACGTAATACCTTATCATGTGACTGATTATTTGTCATTCGCTTTATTATTTTTCATTTCGTTACAACTTTCATTCAAATTTCAAATGTTTTTTTAATCTACAATCTTTCATTTGTTGGCAGTGTTTGGCTGCTAGTCAGTCAGCCATTGTCTCATATATGGGCATGAGCTATCTATCTTACAATAACTATTACAGGGTGCAATGGGTAATGCCAAGATCCACAGTGACCAGACTGCACCCGATAAAAGGCCTGGCCTTATCAGAAGGGTATGATTTACTTTATTTTGTGTCTGTGTGTGTGTGTTGTTATTGGAATGCAACCGCTCTCTGCATCTCATGAGATGTAAATGAAACTGTACTTACCTGTTCATGTTAATGTTTGACGTGAAGTGTGTCACGTGAAAGTTTCACGTAAATAGATGACGTGATATGAATGGCTAGACGCAAACAGTTACTTCTGTGATGACCTTCAATTTATCTGTTCGTTCATCTTTGTCATCAATAGTTTATTTGACATATCCAATATCTCACATTATCCCTCTCATACTCTCCCTCCCATCTCGTCTCCCTCTCACCCTTACCTACATGGATTATTATTATTTTTCATTTTTTATTTTATTTTTCAACTCAACTTTTAAAAATTCAATCTTAATCTCATAATAATTCCATTTATAGATGCGATTAGGTATTTCGTAGTCAGCTTTCTCTCGTGTAGTTATGGGTTTTCACATCAGATTCAAATCTGAACAAGTGTTGCTTTTAAAAACTAAAAACAGTGATATAAATCAAAACGATGACAATATGCGTCAAGATCTGGACCCGACTCTAAGAATTCCTAATGTCCGTCATTAAGCGAGAGTTTCACCTCACTCTCACTTCCACTTGCACTCACCCAATCTCTCACTCTCTCTCTCTCTCTTGATATTCTCTTATATTGTTTTTTTCAGTTTTTTGATAACAAACTAACAGGGAACTTCGATTCGGCAAATTTCTCAGAGGCTTGGAAAAAAAAATTCAGCCATGCTCCGACATGGTGTGATGCTGATATGTCCCTACAGCAAATTAATAGAGTAAGCTATAAGTTGCTATGAATGCTTGTTGTAAGACTGGTTATCTGTTCTAGGGAGTAGCTTCTGGGTCTCGACCGGGATTGTATGCTCGTGCCTTCTTCCAATTATGGTTATTTCGTATAGGATGTTTTGTCCAAAAGTGGGCTTGGTCCACTGTTGTTGTGACGTGAGTTAATGAATACATTTGAGATGATATGATGATGATGAAGACGATGATGATCATGGTGATGATGATGATGATATATCATTTTGCAGACTTTTAATTTACACTGCATGCTGTGCTGGTCTTCAGGATGTTATTATTGAAACAGATATTGTTAAACTTTGGGTTTCACGTACGTGTATATACATCTTGTACCCTTATATGGTTTTACTTTTGTAGAAGGAGGTCGTTTGAGTGAAGAGCTTGGATTCTTATCTCGAGTACAAGAAGAATCAATGAGGGTATTGATGCTTCGCAATCTCCTTTCCCTTCTTATGAATTGTAATCTTACAGATTAAGAGGGATGTGACTGGTTCTCCTCCGCCGATAAATGCTACAACTAACAAAAAGGCAAAACATCACAAATCCCATGAACGACATACACCTGAAATCCCCCGAGAGAATGGACTAGGAGGAGGTTTTCAAGTAATAAATTGCATATAGTCTGTAATACTATATGATGTCTATCTCATTCAGGTAGTCATTCAAACGCCTAGTTATGAAGGGGAGAATATTCTGTCGAAAAAAGCTCTGTTGAAACATGTTGACTTGATGGAAGAAATCTCTCAATATAAGGTTGAGATGCATGGAGAGTATGTATCTCATACTCAATGACAATCCTTACTTGTACTTCTTTCAGGAATTGGACCTTAGCTGATATTTGCTTCAAGCCACCTAGCCCTAGCTTCAACAGCGGGCCTTTAGCTAAAGTCATGTCAACGCTCTTAGATAAAATTATTCCGTGCATCTGGATTACTCCCATAGATTGTTATTGGGAAGGAGCGAAGCCTTTAGGACCTACTCCACCTCTCAATCTGGGGTAACGGAGTACCTTCGAACTTTGTAATTCAAACATTACTTTTAGTGAGGAGATAGCAGGTTTCATCTCGTCTCTTCCAAAGGGAAATGTTACTTGGAAAAACTTGAACCCAACTGCTGTTATGGGTGAAGTTGGAAGTCTTTTTGATTTGGGACCAATTGGAAACTTTTTCGAAAGAGTAACTTTGTTGAACTTGTTCAGGATTGAATGGTATACATTAAGGCTGGAATTGGGGCAGCATATCTTGATCGTCCATGTATCGATCCTCTTGATGTTGATTGTCCACCTACAGCTCCAAATTATTTCGACAAGTGCAGTGCTCTGAAGAAATTCAACGAATGGAACATGGCTAAAGATGAATCTGAAAAAATTATCTTGGAACCAGTTCGTCTTGCTCAAGAAACTGAAAAAGAATCTGGAAGCAGCTTGACTGAATCCATCATCAACGATATTTTCGGTAAAACTCCAAAGTAGACTTTCCATACAAGTATTTCATTTTAGGAAAGAAAAGACGTAAGAGACAAGCTGATACTGATGCTCCACCACCACCACCTCCCCCACCACCACCAGCTCAGTCTTCTTCCCCTTCAACCAAGGATGAAGACTATTATAACTACGAAGATGAGAACGATTATGATTTGACTGGAGTTGATGCTAATGGAAGTATGTTCCTATTCTATTCTCTAGTGTTATGAAATGTTTTTGCAGCCGTTACTAACAAGAAGAATCAGCCCAAGAAGGATACTGTCTGCCTAGAGTATGGACCAGCTTTGTTGGAATGGATGCAAGCCAATCCTGATCGGTGGGGAGAGTTTTTGACTGAGCAAGAGCTTCCACAATACCCAGATTATGGAGAGGTTGGCTCTATGAAACAGGCTGATAGTGTTTACTTTAATGGTTGCAGATCATGTCTGGAGGTTGCAAAGGTTTCGGAAAGAATATCATGGAATGGCCTGAAGATTTGATTATCGGTGGTATCAAGAGAGGAGAGAACAAACTTCAATCTGCTGAAGCTCTCCAAAGTGTTTTCTTGGTTGCCAGTCCATTTGATGTTTATCTCCGTTTCAAGGTTTGTTCATGCCAGTGATGATAGAACTGAGTATGCGTGTTCCAGGAGGGAAAACCAGAAATTCATCCAAATCTTGACACCAGTCGCTGGAATCCTCGTTGGGCTAATGACATCATTGTTGCATGGCAGAGAAATTTCACTAAAAAACTTTACGGTCATAAGGCTAATCTTGAAGTGAGTGGTGATTAGAGATGAACAGTTACCGAAGAGTCTGTTTAGAATCCTGAGGTTAGAGTGTTCCATCCATTGGCTTCTACTTCAATTGCTGATATGTTGGAAGAGTTCTCTCAATTCAACTACGAGATCATCTTCATCGGATACGGATTGATGGTATAGAAAGCTTGCAAACCATAACGGAGACCAGTCTTCTACAGATTGTCTATGCCATATTCACTCAAGCCAGATTCAAAGGAAGATGGCTTGCCATCCAATCGAACGTCTTCTTAGCCATCGTTGGAGTATTTTTAGTTACTTACTCATCTATCTGTGGTCTTGGTGTCACAACGGCGCTAGGAATCAATTTTAATGCTGCTACAACTCAAGTTTGAACTAACTCTTTACCGCTTACTTAAGCTTTTCATTTTCAGATCGTACCTTTCCTCACACTTGGTCTCGGTATTGATGACATGTTCTTGTTATTGCATAATTACGATGAAATCGTAAATATTTGTAATCAAAATGAGATGGGTATCCTTCTAAAGGAAACAGGAATGTCCGTAATGGTAACTTCCATCAACAACATTTTGGCTTTCGTTGCCGGATACATCCTTCCTATCCCAGCTCTCCGTTCTTTCTGTTCTCAGGTAACTTTCTTAGTACTGTTCTGACTAAGCTGTGAATTTCAGACTGCCATTCTGTTGGCTTTCAACTTAGCCTCTTTGATGTTCATCTTCCCAGCTTTCATTGGATTGGATCTTAGAAGACAACGTCGAGGTCAAAGAGATTTGGCTTGGTGTAGTCGCGGCGATCGTACTGAAGAGCGTACAAAGGAGGTAAAGACAATGATTCTCACAACACTCATTTTTATGTTTATGCTATAGAAAGAGAAGCACAAGTACATGGAGCCAGCTGAAATTACTGAATTCACAAGAAACCAGCCTTGGTATACTGTTGGAGGATTCTTAACGAACTATTACATCCCAAGCTTGAAGAAACCTGCTGTCAAGGTATTTACTGCATCCTCTCACCCACTTAGAAATGCTTTAGTATATAATTGTTGGGGCTACATCCTTAGCTGTCATATTTGGCTTATATGGAATGTATAACTCAACTTTGGGATTAGAATTGTCTGATGTTCTACCTGAGCACACCCCTCCAGCAGCTTTCCTTAGAGCTCGTGAAAAATATTTCTCCTTCTATCCCATGTTTGCCGTCCTCAGAGGACAGACGATTGATATTCCTAATCAGCAGAATCTAATTGAAGAGTATAGGCAGGATCTTGGTAACACTTGAATATGGGTTCTCATAAAACTCTGACTTTATAGGAAAATCTGATTATATGATCAAGGCTGATGGCAAGTTGCAACCTTATTGGATGTCTCTTCTTCGCACTTGGCTTGAGTCCTTAGATACAGCCTTAGCTAACGAGTTGAAAAACGGAACAATGGATCCTATCACAGGACTACCGGTGAAAGGACAGCCAAAACCAGCTCCAGAAGCAATGATTGCTAGACGTCTTGTCTGCTCAGTAGGACAACAGTACAACTGCACAGGAAGAGTATGAATATCAGTATTCATTGTTATAGTTTAATGATCTCATTTATAGATTGGAAATATCAAGCTAGTTTCGGATGATGGAATTATCAATCCTGAAGGATTCTACAACTACTTGACCGGATGGTACAACGTTGATAACATGATGTACTATGTATCACAAGCCTCTTTCTTCCCCGTTCCTCCAGGCTGGGCTATGGGACCAGTATGTTTTCCTTATGTTCGAAACTCAATCGATAATCTCTTTTTCCAGGAAGAAAAAGTTGTCCCACCTGCCCGTCCTCTTCTTTATTCTCAAATTCCATATTATCAAACAGGCTTAACTGATACTCCTCCAATTGTCACTATGATCAAAGAGATTAGAACTATCTGTGAAGATTATTCTGAAAAAGGCCTTCCTAACTTCCCCAGCGGATTAGCTTTCACTTTCTGGGAGCAGTACCTCCACTTAAGATGGAACTTGTTCTATGCCATCTGTATTATTGCTTTTGCTGTCTTTACTGTTATTTCAATTCTCATGTTCAATCCACAAGCAGCTGCCATGGTATGTCATAATCAATTTGGTACAGTTGACTGATTCTTCTCTCTTAAGGTTATGGTTATTGTCGTGATAGTTACGATCGAACTTGGTGGGTTCATGGGGCTCGTAGGAATAAAGATGAATCCCATATCAGCTGTAACACTGATTTGTGCAGTAGGAATCGGTAAGAGCTTTTATAAGCCATTCAGCTTATTGTATACGGTTGCAGGTGTCGAATTTACTGCTCACGTCGTCTTAGCCTATTTGACTGCCCTTGGAACTGTGGACGATAGATTAGATTCTTGTTTACAACATATGTTTGTTCCTGTATTCCACGGAGCGATATCCACTTTACTTGGTAAGATTTCGTCTTTATTCTTTCTCACTAGTTGACTTGTTTAGGTATTGTTATGCTGGTATTCTCCCAATTTGATTTCGTCATCAAATACTTTTTTGTTGTAATGTCCGTGTTGGTGATACTTGGAGTGTTCAACGGGTTATGTCTCCTACCTGTATTGTTGTCTCTCATTGGACCTAAACCTGAGGTAATTACTGTTATGAATGAGATTTTCTTGAAACCATATTGTTTAAGCTCGTTCCTAAGGATGGTACATCACATCTACCTGTTCCTCCACCTCTACGAGAACAAAACGATCAAAATCATGGCATGAGGAAACTTGACTCAGAGTGTATATAATGTATAATGTGTTATAAATATATATTGAACCTTTATAAAATCTTCAATTTTTTTTGAGAGCCATAATCTCTGATACATTCATTTATGCATTGAGACCACTTAACTCACAGCTAGTTTGATCTTTATCCACAAAGCCACAAATATTCAGATCTTAGAGAAGATTGCAAGAAGAGGTTAACCGTTCTGGACGATTTGGGGTGAAAAGCAACCGTTCTGAGCGGTGTGGGATGGAATGCAACCGTTCTGAACGGTTTGGGATAGAATGCAACCGTTCTGAACGGTTTGGGATAGAATGCAACCGTTCTGAGCAGTGTGGGATGGAATGCAACCGTTCTGAACGGTTTGGGATAGAATGCAACCGTTCTGAACGGTTTTAGATGGAATGCAACCTTTCGGTGCTCTTCGGATGAGGCCCGGATGAGTCCAGGCCCTATCCTTGACTTGTGAGCCGATGAGCTTTTTCCTCCTCTCTGGAGGACCTCCAGAGAGAGAGGAGTGGAGCTCACCGGCTCACACAGTCAACTGACGTGATTCAGACGCTCCACGGCTTATATACCCCCGCGGACACGCGCCACGTGAAAATAATTTTTACGTCAAAAAAAAAATGACCCGGTCGTTCTCTTTTGGAAAAACGA